ATGATAGAAGGAAATAATAAATGTATTATAAACACAACTATAATCATAAAAAAAAATAGAATTTTGCTATCTCACAAGACCAATTAAGCAGAAACTGGTAATTTTATGAAGTATTGGGGCAATAGTTGTACAAAGAGAATATTTTAAACGACAGCTATGGATACTTCATTCATTTTCTAAAGAAGAAAAAAAAATGTAGGCAAAATTAAACAGGTACCGAATTATTTCTTATGTGTTTGAAATTACTGGTCCCAGGATTTTATAACTTATGAGACTGAAATAGTTTTGAAATCTGTAACGTTTAATGTATTTGAATTATGTTTTAATTTGTAATAAAAAGTACTCGTTATCAAGAATTTTGTCGAATACTTCCTCCCTCCAACTTTTATCTGATCATATCTGTCTCTGTTCAACTTGGGCTTCATCTTAAACAATTTCACACATAAAAATAATATTCGATGGAAGTAAAAATGTTTATTCTTTTATATTCTAAACATTGGGCCAAAAGCACATACCATTATGGAGAATGGCAAAATATTTAAAACCTACCTTTAAGCTGATCCTTTTTGATCATCTGCCATTGTACTCTAAAAATTCATTCATTTCTGAGGTGTAGGATACCTTCAGCTTTAAAAGACGTTTTGCAGTTGGTAGGCTGTTCAGCAATACTTCATTTAAAAGAAGCCTCACATATTGATTTCAGTTTAACATAAACAATAAAAATGACAAGGCAATCCTGTATCTAGCTCTCAAGTATTAGAATTACCTTCATCCCCAGCCCATCCAATATATTTCTTGCAGGATTTGCCTGAATTGTGTGCATGGCCAATTTAACAAAAGAAATGGTGGAAATTTACCAAATGGCAGCCAGTTCTCATCCTCAAACAAGTGATGGCATCAATCAGTTAGAGGGCAATTTTGTAACTGAACTTAAAATTTAACAAACAAGCATTTAATTTTTACAATAACTTGCACCTGTTGAAAAGAGCAGTGTAGGCAGGACCTGAAATGACAGAATATAGTGGCTCCAATGTTCATATTAAGCTTCCCAAGACCACTGGACCCAGCAACTGTGTATCATGTGTAACATATCAGTGTGGAAGAATTATGACATCTATGTTTCCATCCTGAAATGTGATATGTGTTTGCTTGCAACATTTGTGGGTTCAAGAACCTTCACTTCACATAAGACGAAACAACACACATATATACATAAAAACATGCTGAATGTTTTTTTTGCAATGAAACTCACCATTTTATTAGAAACATAAGCTCCCCACTTGAATCTGTGGCTCCAATAATTTTGTCTGGTTCTAAACCTCTGTCAAATCCTTTGAGTTTGTTGTCATTCTTTAAAACAAAAGCAAAGTCAAAATGCTTAATAAAAATGATTAAAATTAAATTAAATGCAAAGACAATTTTAAAATCTTATCTCACTTTTACTGATTTTTAAAGTAATGATTAGACAACAAATGAAAATCAAAAGTAACTCTTTTTATAAAACAAAACAAAAACTCATGAAATAGAACATTAAGCATTAACGTGACTATAGAAAGAACATTTTGTGTGCCTATAAAAATCCATGTAGTGAGACCAAGCCAGATTAATGAATTTAATTTTCAGTATTAATATTTTTTATTCTTTTCACATTAATACAATTATAATTGATTAATATTTATTAGCCATATCACATTTAGATCCATGCTCATTTATTTCTTCTGATTAATTAACTGAAGGAATTGTGTATTATGTGAACAGCAAAGGTTAATCATGTGTTAAAAAGACTCGTAAGAATACAGTGTGATGGAAAAAAATCTGTTCACAACAGTGTGAAAGGTCTCTATTTAATGTAATTAGGGCATTTTTAATCAATATTATCACACACATGTTAGTAAAATTATAAATACTTCTACATATGCTTCAGATAGAATTACATAACTCAAACTGCATCATCTTACCAAGAATATAATGTAATGATTCAAAACTGGAAAATACTTATGTGAAAAACAGTTGAGACCAACAGTTTAATACATCTTATAACAAACAATAAGGTGAAACATAAACATAAAAGAGTATGATGGTAATAAACCTCAGAAGTGGGAAACACAAGTATCCACATATATATCTATACATTAGTCAGAGGAAAGAGACCCTAATCCACATATGTTACTCACTTGAAGTTTTAATCTAATTTTTTTTATTTTACTTTTAAGTATATTTTAATATTATTGTGTACTTAAATGCCTGTTTATTTATTTAAAATTATTATGTTTATTTTATAATAGCTAAAAGCTGTAATTATAATTCACTATTATATTTAGGCTGATGAGCTCCCAGAGTGTAACTAGAACCATTTTCAAATTATGTATTTCTGCTTAACCTATGGTGACAATCTTTTTGATATCTAATCTTTACACTTGAGTTAGGGTTTTACATTTCTATGAATTATTCAGTATGGACATTTCCTCATTTTGACACAGGAATAATTATTTAGGTTCTTCTTGATGCTCCTTGTGCCATGTTTGAAGATGATGACTCAGTTTATTTGGCTTCAAACTTTCTGAAGAGAGCACTGAGTGATGTAGTAGACACAGTGGCCTCTCTTCATTGCTGTGCAGCACACTTTCAAGGCCTCATAATTTTGTTGTTGTTGTTTTTTGCCTGTAATTTTAACATTCTTACTGCTTATATTTGGTAGGTTTTTCAATTTTTTCACAAGTATGCATACATGGTTGTCATTTCTTATTACTATCTTACATAATATTATTACTCATTTAAGATTAAACTAGGTCAAATGCACATATTCGTGTAAATGATGTCATTATCACCAGATTAGGCCTATAAGATCAATCAATAGCACCTCTAGTGAATAATACAGATGTTACTGTGACAGCATAACTAAGGGTGTATTTCAACTGGTCCATTAAGTTTTTTTGCTACATATGATCATTTTTTCACTGATCTCGAGACCCGACCAAAGTCTGCCATGATCTCAAATTTTAAAACTACTGATCCATAGTTTCATTCCTTGTAATTACTTGTTGAAAACATAATGGCCTACCCTTGTTAATAAGACAAAACTATAAAATTACCATGTCTCTCTTTATAATCTTCATTTTGATGATTTGTGGTAATTTCCTCTATGAAAAAACTGTTTCTCAGTATTTAAAGCTGACAAATAAATATTCAAGTTCAACAATCTTGTTGCAAAGGGTATTACACATTGTATAGCAGAGACGGCTGGTATGGGTATTAAAAACTTTAATTAAAATAAACATTATAATCTCAAACCAAGGAGTAATTTTCCAGAATCATTCTTCAGTTTTGACTCTGGATGGGGTATGACTGACAAAATATTTGCTGAAACGCTAATATTTAAAGAGTTGAACCTTAAAAAAAAGGTTATTTAGGTAATTGTTTTTTAAAAAAGGAACCTTAGGAATAATTTATGACCGAGTATGATATTTTGTATAATAAGCATTGGTGAAATATATAATAATAATAAAATTACTTAGTATTTGCATGGCTTATAATAGTTCTATACTGGTATTTTGTAGGTTCTTAGCATCTCTAGCTAATATGTACTATATATGCACATTGGCTAAAGAAACAGCAGAGGCCAACAAAGTATCTGAGGCTTGATAGCAGACCTCAAGCTGTGGGCAGAAAAATTGGTGTATGTACTCGATATTTAAATATCATAAATAATCCATATTTTTGGATGTGTAATACACTGAGTACACAGCTGATCTCTAACAATGGTTTTCATTATATGAATAAGAACGAATTCAAACAAAAAATGTTTTTTTGTTCATTATACCAAATTTTTTAAAATATTGTATCTGTAAAAAATAATCTTCAATAAATTTCCCAATAAAGAAATGTTACTGTACAGTAAACTGTAAATAGAACTTTACAATTTAATCAATTTTAGGCTTTTGGAAATCAAAAAATTGTCATTGCATCATCTAAAGATCAGTTACGTACTTTTCAACATCTAAAGAAAGAGTGATTTTCTGAGTATTTAAACTAATAACTTAAAATGTGTATTAAAATGAAACAATATGAAAAGAGCATATAAACTTATGCAAAGTCAAAACCCATGCTATAAACACATTCTTACTTCAGGTTTCTTTTTTTTCTTTTGGGTCGAATTGTTCGAACCATCTTCACTGATCTTCCTCTTTTTTTTCTCATCATTTTTTTCACCGTCTTTACTTTTGTATGATTTCTCAAACTCAGCTATAAGATCCGGGCAGTCAAGATTTTCTTTCGGTTCCCACGTGTTCTCAGAACTACATTAAAATGTTAAGAAGTAGAAGTTTCATTCCACAACAAACTGATTAACACTTTTGTTGAAAAAAACCTTAACTAGGGTGATCTGCAACATTCTTTAAATCAGTGTTCCAGGTTAGACGTGTATTCAAGTAAGTATACATTTTTATATAAAAATGTATTAGGAATAAAAACTGTGTGTACCAACTATGCACAGTAATCATCAGTATGTATCTCATTCACATACTTCCCTAGTTTAGAAGAAACGAACAAACAAACAAACCTGTATCAGTACTCAAACATTATGAATACAAAAATATAAAGGGCCTCTAAGCATACTAACGTGGACTATCGGCTTGGATAACCAAAATTGATCACTCCTCAGTCCACACAAATATTATGGTGAAATGAAACAAAACAACTGGTATTGTATAAATTACCAAGGACAACAATAAAAGTTTGGGGCAGTGTCTTATAAGCCACCGATGACTACCACAAAAACAAATGTAAGTTTTTCAGGTGCCTTGAATATCTAAATTTTGGGTGAAGAACAATAAAAAACATACAGCAACAAATCCTGCTATTCATAGTGGGTTTCAGATGTACAAGTCTGGGTTTCACATAAACTTGGTGAATGCTTTAATACGAGTGTGTTGCTCAACTATGAAAAGTAGTGGGGCAGAATGGCATATGCTTGTTTTGGCTTTAGTGCACTTTTAACAGTTAAGGAACCATGAATGTCTTATTGTGCTGTAACAAACTGGCTAATTCTGTACTGGCTGCATTAGAGGAATTTTAGAGTAAATAACAATACCTCTTTCAGTAGTTAAAATGTACTGTGCCATATTGCACACCAAGTTTAGCAGTAGTTTGAATCAAACAGCATTGTAATTCTACCTTAACCATCCGATTTTGTATTTCAGTATTTTTACCATTTTTAAATGCTTAACCCAGTCTTAATTTAGAATGCAGTCGTTCTTCTGTGGTAAATATAATCAAGTAAAGTATACTATATTATAGTTATTGTTACTTTCATTAACAGTACTGGTTATATACTATTTAGTATAATGAATGTCATTACTTTTTCTTTTGATTTATTGTTTATTGTTATTGTACTTTTACTATCAAGATATTTTGCTATATTTGGTTAACATACATATTTAGGACCAACTTAAATCTCCTAAGCCGGCTGAACCTTGTGAACTACTATTAGGATTATGGTAAAAAATATTGTTAACAGAGAGAGTACCCAAATGATGAAACAATGCATTCTTATTATAAGTAGAAATGTAAAAAAAGTATACTTAATTAATCATACTGATTACTAGGTTGATTTTAGTTTTGTTCTTACTACATAGCTTACTCTGACTGTAAGTTAATATTAATTCTCTTAAAAACGTCTAGCCCCATGTTGTTCATAATTCTAGTTTTTTTATAAAGAATACAGTCTCACATTACATTTTGTTCATATTCATTTGGCACAATATTCAAATAAATTTGTTCCTATGCCTATGCACTCTGTAGCAGAAAACAACACTGATGAAAAATATTGTATATTGAAAGCATAAATAACAAACAGCTTTATTCTGCTATATTTACTGTATTTTGTTTATACTGTAGTTGTAGAATAAATAATGTAAAAGAATCAGATCACAAAGCTATGAGAATTTTCAAAATCAAGAAAATATCATCGTAACATGTTATCACTCACTTGATATCTCTATGATACGTGTCACACTGGGCATGACATTTTTAAAACTAAGCATTATCCACTCATACATTATATATACAAGTCTTCCCCTTATTTTATGAAGACATATTTTAGTCTACTGTCAAGAGACTACTGTGTCAGCTTCTTAAGCAAATTTGGGTAATTCCTCATTCATTATTCTAAGTTAATTTTTTTTTCTAGCCATGCTTAACTGGTTCTATATGTCATATCTAATATAGTTTGTCCTTGAATGCAATTGTTAATGAAATTATAAAATAGATATTTATGAAAAACTCTTTGTTGCTATTTTTACTGACAACATTTAAAATTAACACATTCTAAAGAACTGAAAAGAAATTAAGATATTCAAATTAAAGTCAAATTACTGACAACATTTAAAATTAACAATGCCTAAACCTTTGGATCTGATGAGATTTTTAACTGCTGGCCATAATCCAACAGCCCAGTGTCAAAAATATTCTAAAGAACTGAAAAGAAATTAAGATATTCAAATTAAAGTCTGGTGAACTTTTTTTATTAACTACACCACACTTAAATCTAGTAAGAAGTATATAAGGAATAAATATATTTTAATTGTGACATAGATGCATGTTAATGTGAAAATTATCCAACTGATATACATCAGAACTGAATAAATAAATGTATATGAAATAGCCACAAATACATCATTCTTTTTAAAGAAGACAAGCTAAATTTTTGTGCTCTCTGATGTGTGGGAATGAACAGTACACATTAAGTGTGGTGTATTATGAAACAAAAATTAAAAAACAAACTTACATTACAAACAGTATATGGAACAAATTGTCACAAGTCTTGATATTGCAAAAACTAGTTTTGACACATTTGTGTGTCTTCTTCAGTTACACTTTGTTCTTTAAAGACAACATAAGACTGAAGAGGACATGTATCAAAACTAGTTTCTCCAATATCAAGACTTCTGGTAATTTGTTCCATTTTTTTCACTAACTGCTACACACGATATAGTGTTCTTTTCTTACTGCATATAACTTCAGAAGTAAATTTAAATGAACACTTACTCTGGATACCCTTTCCATTTCAGATAATATTCAATATGCCCATTAGTCACTTTCTTGTCGATAATTTTTTCAACAATATACTCTTCAACTTCCGGACTACTTTCTTTCTGCTTCTTTTTTCCCATTGTAGGCTGAAAAAGAAAACATTTAGCAAACATTGCATGATGGATTAACATTAATAATAACTTTCTATTCTTAAATGATTGTTTTATAGTTACAATAAAATAGGGACGAGAAGAAGGAACCATTTGGTTATCCTTTCACAACCACATTTGACAAATGTACCCTTTACTTTTCAGGAAATCATCAATTCCCCTTTAAAATTACTGTGAAGCGTTGGACTTCTCTAGTACCAATGGAAACTTATTCAACAAGACAATCAATCTGTTATTAAAATAAAAGTATCTTAACTGGAGCCTAATCTGTCTTTTCAAATCTTAAACTCGTATCTTCAGAATACAGCACAAAGAATTCAGAGGCCTTTAACATACTTATTCCAAAAATAACCTTGAAAGCTTCAATAAGATCACCTCTTACCATTCTTTCCTCAAGTAAAATTAAGTTGAGATTCATGTAAGATAACCATTCCATCCTCTGAATAATCCTGGTAGCCTTTCTTTAAACCCTTTCCAATTAGTCAATATCCTTCCTTAGAGAAGGAGAACAAACTGTATACAAGTGAGACCTAATTAGTGGTTTGTATAGGGAGAGAATTAACCCTTTTGATTTGTAATCAGTAGATTTATATATAAATCCTAGAATTATGTTAGCTTTGCTACTATCAGTAGAACACTGCCTCGATGGTTTGGGTAAATTCATCCATCACTATGCCAACATTCTTCTCTTCAGTCATGCTTTTGAATGATTTCCTATCTATATAAAACATGGAAACCAAATTATGATAACCCAAAGGCAAGGGTGGAATTTGGAGTCAAAATGTGTGTGTGGGGGAGAGGTTTGACTTAATTATTGTGAATGTTGTGGACATATTATATCTCACAGAAAAAAAGTGGTGGTGGTGGTTTTAGGGACAACTGCTCCTTCTTCAAATTCATTACCTTGTATCTACTACAATAAAGTCATTTACAAAACATTTGTCTAACTTATCAATACACAAAAGTCATTCTAGAGTACTTCCAAATACAAATACAATTGATAAATTCTACACATCATCTAATTAGAATGGAGCTGGTCTTTTGAGAGAATGAGAACATCAGTACATTGTGTTAATTTTGCCAAGATTGTATTCCTTACAATATTTCAGATTTTATTTTGTTGAATTTAAAGGCAGATTTCATTGGAATGCACTATTCATCGATGGTGTGAAACAAATAATCTGGGAAATTACTAAGCTTTGTAATACAAACACTTGCTGAAGCAACACAATTGCTATACCTTCATCAAATGGAACTTTTTCTGCAATTTTAAGCTTGTAAGACATTCACTTGAAAGCAGACAGGTCAAGCATGGACATTTGCCTTGGCATTGCTGTCAATCAAGAGGATTATGCATCCACAGAAAATCAAAGCTTAAGAGTTTCATCATATAGTAACAGAAATATTTGGTTAAAAAGCCAGAATAAAATTCTGTCACAACTGGATATGTAAGTATCAATCTATCACTCCAGTTTTTGCTGGTTTTATAACTATTGTAATAGTTTATGCTGTATACAGGGTTGTAGCTAGGATGATTTGAGTGGTGGGTGGTAAAAAACAGTCTAGCCAAAAGATGCACTTGCCTGTGGTTGTTGCCAGCATACCCCCACCCCTCCTCAGACAGGCAAATAAAAAGGTTATTATTTTAATGTTTATAATTTTAATGACTTTTGAAAATTCCTTCAGAAAGTCTGATAAAACACTCCACACAAGCAGTCACTAGACAAACACATGTTTAAGGTGAATGACTAGTCTAAAAAATTAAAAGTGGAGACAAATTTTATTCTAGGCCGAGATATATTTTTCTGATTGATCTATCTTTAACAGAAGGTAATTGATATAAATTAGTCACAAGATCAAAAAGTTTTTATGCAAAAAACACATTGATATATTTTTATATCTGTAAAATTTTGAAAATATTTTTACACATCACATAAACTTTTACTGGAAAGAAAATAGGTTTTATATGGTATCCACTGTGGATATTGTCTGATATGCCATGTTATGTACAAGTGAATTAGTGTGGAACAGGTCATTTGTTCAGTTTTGCATGCAAGTTTTTTCCTGTAGAATTTTCTTGAAATGTATTTTAGAGCAAAAGTTATTTGCTTCATGACTTTTCAAGAAAAGTGTTTGTTTCTAACAAGCTAATTGTGAAGTAAATTGTACTGTGACATTGACAAAGAAATTTTTTAGGCTTTTGGTGAACTTAGTGTTGGGTGGGCAGAAAGAGCACTAGATGGCCCAGTCCACTGCAGCTACAGCCCCGGTTGTATAATAATGACACTATAAACTATATGTTGCAAGGAAAAATTTAATTTACTATTGTTTAGATTGTACAATATAGCTGTGTTGGTGGTAAACATTATTTTATATTGTATGGAAATTTGCCTTTAAGTTTGAAAATGGCAACCAATGGTCAGCCTTAAAACATAACATTTGTTATACTGTGTATTTGTAATTGTACTGGTGTCTTATTAACATGTTGTAGCAACTATGTTCATATATATTCAGTGTTTTCTTTTACCATTTGACAGAACAGCAATGTTAAAAAGTCATTTAGCCTATGAGATGATGCTGACTTAATACTTTCCTAAACTATTTAGCTACACATTGAGGCAAAAATATTAGTTTCATTTGAACAACATTTTATCATTATTTTTCAACACTAAATGAAACCAATGCATACACTAAGACTGACCAAGGCAGCTGGCTTATTTTTTTCACCCATCTCTGTCATGCTGTATTTTCACTGTTGAGATGAGGATTTGAGCCTAGATTTTTAAAAATGTAAATAATTAAAATTTTTTCTTTATATAACATTAGTGATAAAAAAGCAAGGAAGCTTAAACCAGTCTTCATTCAATAGTTCATTTACTAAAAAATATTTGTAAGTTTTCAGAAATCTTGCATAATTCTTCATGCAATTTCATCTCATTCCCAATCAGAATGTTTTCCATGTACACAAAGACTTCCATATAACAATGATTAAAGCAAGCTACCAATATAATAAATCAGAACTAAAAATATATACCAGTACATTGCTAGTAGATATGAATGATTGTGCTATTAAATTTAGCAACATTTCTCAATATTTTTAATATGTCATGTAAATACCTGTCTCAAAATTGTACATTAAATCATTTCTGATATACATTTAATTATATTTTGAGAGAAAACAGATGTTGAACTAGGTAAACGTTAGCAAACAACTGGAAAGATGGAGAGGTGACACAAAGATGAATAATGAGTTCTGTTTTGACAATTTTACTTTTAAACCACTCTATGGTATTCAGGTACACTGGAAAAGTACAGCAGAGAATAATTTCAAGCATGAACAACAAGATTTATATTCTAATTCACTTTTAAATCAGAAAAATGGTTCAAGTGCAAAAATCCAAGAACCAAAAAATAAACATGTAACAAACTTTTTAAAATAATATATACAGGGAAGAAACAACCAAATTAAACCAGTTTGTACAAGTATGTGTGTCACCTCTTGAGATAGGCTTGTGAAGAATATGATTTTACCAAAGTGACTGGAACAGCTCTCTATCCACACATACATATAAAAAAGTTGTTAAAACCACTGATACCTTGCTTCAGAGATGCTTGCTTTATTTTAACAGGCCCTCCAGTGGCACAGCGATATGTCTGCGGACTTACAACGCTAGAAACCGGGTTTCGATACCCGTGGTGGGCAGAGCACAGATAGCCCTTGTGTAGCTTTGTGCATGATTAAAAACAAACAAACAAACAATTATTTTAACAGTATGAGGTTAGCATGTGTATATCTTGCTTTACAAATTTTTTGACATTCTTTGAAAACGTTACTGCTTATGTAGATGAGGGTAAAGGTATAGATTTGGTGTATCTGGATTTTCAGAAAGCATTTGACACGGTACCACATAAAAGGTTTGTAAAAAATTATCTCTATAGGTGTGGGGGATAAGTTAGCTAAATGGATGGAAGAAAGCAGAAGGTTGTTATAAATGGAGTTCAGTTAAACTGGATTAATGTTACATGTGGGGTACCTCAGGGCTCAGTCTTAGGGCCTTTGCTCTTTTTTGATTTACATCAATGACATAGATGAAGGAATGGTCAATAAATTACTTAAATTTGCTGATGATAGTAAGGTATTGGGTGTTGCT